GGTGAATACAGCTGAGGGGCGGGACCAAACAGCTGAAGCTCAATTCCCTACGCATAACTAGGCGAGTCCATAGGAATTACCGTTTGTCCTGGCGCCATCTATGTTTTGACAGCAGTACTACTAATGTTCCCACGTTATGTGATGATCGCTATACGGATGTTACGGTCAGTTGCTCTTCTATATATGTTTATGGACAACGTAGGTGATTTGAGGCAATTTGCGGCCAGAGTGAAATAGTATCCACGCGGTGAGTGATGGAGGAGGATATATACTGCTGTGTACTCGACCAGCGGGTGAGAGGTAATTTATATCGAACAATTATGGGGAATAGATGGGTTATTTTAAGCGTAGAATGTCAGGTAACCGGTAACTACACAGATGGGGTAGTGTTTTTTTAAGTCTTTATTTACTAAAGTGGAACATTACATTATGCCTTTAGCTGAACAAGTTTACTGGTGGGGGAAGTAGACGGGTTTTATGAAAGTATTTTACCTAAATATTTGTACTGGGTTAACTAGTTCAGCCGTTACCAGGGAGGGTGTTCCTTTAATCTAATCTAAAAATTGTAGCCGGACAAAGTGATTAAATAAAGAAATTGAATAGAACGAAGTGGTTTGCCATGGTGCTTAACATTTAGTTTAGTTCACTTACTATGCAGCCCATGCTTAAATGCAAGTTTATCATATTGACTTTACCGTAGTTTTACTGCATTTAATATACCGTTTTTACCCTATTTAATTATGTCGGGTAAAGGCCGGTCGTGGAAAGTTCCTAATATAGCAAGTTTTAAAGGAGAAGTTTGAGTTAACTTTAACGCTTAAGTTAGTGACCAATTAGCTTGGTGTATTGTGAGGAAAGTTACTAGAATCTAACATTGCAAGTGCCATTTCTCTAGTCTTTTTGAGAAACATGACTAGATACATAAATCGCATAGTTTTATTACTAAATGTTCATGGATTAGGTTGCATAGTTGAGTAAATGGTGATAAGGTTTGTGATTTTGTGTACCTTGACTTCAGCAGAGATTTTGATAGTGGCGCAAAATTGATAGGGGTTCTGATCATTGGGAATGCTGACTGAAGTTGATTAGGTCATGGCTATACCAAAGGAAATTAGTATAAATGGGGTTAAGTTGGGAGAAGTGTTGTAAGTAGTGCCTAAAAGCTCTCCTTGGACCTCGGTTATTCGCAAGATTATGGTTTAGACTGCAATAGTTGCAGAATTGGCAAATAACAAATACCGATGCCCTATAGTTTTGAAATGGTTAAGACTACCAGATGCAGTTTAATGCTGACAAATGTAAGGTTTGGGGGCTAGGTAAAGATGAGATACATGTTGTAGATTGTTAAGAGTATTAAATTTTTTGCAGGTGGTAAATTCTCCCAGAGCTGGCACTGCTCTCCAGCCTGGGATGTTGATTGGTTAGTCTTAAACTGCCTCCCAACATGGTAGTGAGGTCCTGAGCTGACACGCAGTGAGGAACGTGGAAAGCTTCCTGAATTGACACATGGTATGCCTCCCTTTCAAACCAGCAGCTGGCACAAATGTTCCAGCTAACATCAGAATAGTGGATTTAGCCCACACTAAAATGTAAGTGGTACAATAAATGGACACCCCCCTCCCTTTTGACACTGAACAGTTGGGAGGAAGAAGGGGGGGGGGGGAGGAAGTGTGGCTTATAGTTCTATTGCTACAGAATATTTAGCCATAAGCCAGTGCCTATTGGCACTTTCTATTCAGAATCTCCCCCTTACATAGTTAATTAAAAACGAAATGCTGAAGACAAGGATAACTTTTGAAGGGGGCAACATTTTCGTTGCCATCAAAGCACATCAAAGATGCTCTGAGCTAACTTCCCCTAGTCATTAGTGAATGGTGGCCAATAGCTCTCTAGCCATTAGAATCCATGCAGAAAGTGTGCACTTCTGCTGTATCTGCCAGTTTGCTAGAAATTGAAATTGGCATACTTGCTCAGCAACTACTTGCCCTCTTGTACCATGTTACTCAACCATAACTTAACAACCACACCACCCATTCTTCTAAAATAACATCCCATATGATAAACTTCTGCTTTTAATAAATATTTCTAACTTTAATATTGGCTTGCATGGTGTGTTAATCATTCCCACAACATTTAATCCATTAACAGTACTGTATCAGGTTCATAAAGAAATTTTATAATAAAGACCAAGTGTGGTCATAAGTGCTGCAGATGGGGGAGATAGAACCTTACACCTGCAGAAGTGTGGTGATAACTGGAGAATATGGCCTTGTATAGTTGCTAGTGTAAAAATATTACTAAATTTAGTAAAATCAGTCTTGGTAGTATAGTTGGGTTAATTATGAATTTTCAGACTAAAAAGCTTGGTACATAATTCAACAGAATAAATTTGTCCCCTAGTAGTAAGCAGTGGTTGCAAAAGAATAATTTGTATATATAAATTATGTATTGCTTTTATTGAAATGTTATACATGGTTGTTAAATTAAAGTTTGTTTGCAATGTTCCAGAAAAATGTTCATGACTAAAGTTGTTTGAAAATAAAATTTGTATAGGATGTTGACTTGAAATGACTATAGTTTGTTTGTAATTAAAGATGGGACAACAAGATACTTAGTGTGCCATTTAAAACGGCAACTGTTAAACTGGTGGTACAGGTATGAACAAAATAACATCGCTATGCAAATAACTTTTTAGTAATATTTACTGTTCACATGACAGGTTGTGGAAGATCTTGGCAACGAAGAGCTGCAGGAAAATACTTGCAGATCTACAGTAAGTAGTGTTGTGTACATTGGAATTAGAGGGTAGAAGTTAATTGCTAAAAACCTATTAAATATTAGGGTATGGAAGTCTAGGCTTAGGCTAGTGGGTACCATATCTGCAAGTTTAGTCCTTTCAGGAATGTATTGAAATTGTGAAAATTGTAATGTGGGGCATTAGATCTTAAACAGCATAGTTGAGGGTGTTTTATTAATAATTTTAATGAAATATAAATCTTGTTTAGTTGACATTAAATGTTTGTTAAATAAGCTTTAATCTATAAATGTATAACACTGTTAAGGGTAATCATGAGTCAAAGTTAATGGCAGGAAAAGTTTTGTTCTAAGTGATGGTATTTTTCCCTTGAAAGTAAAAAAAATATTCAATGTTTACTTTAGCTTGGTTTTAAATTTATATAGTTTTCCAGAATGTGGTTTGGAAAGTCTAGAAGTCCCTCTCAGTTGGAGTTGATGGCTTACAGAATCAGGTGAGTTGTAGTAAGGTTAATCTGAATAGATTTGCATAAAAGTAAAAAAATAGTAATAACTTAAACAATATAGCATTGGCTAAAGATAAATGTAAATTGCCATTGAAGTGCAGTTGTGGATAGTTTCTCAAATGACATTTACTGAAACTTGGCAAATTGATGCCATATATATTTATATTGCTAAATTAGATCTTTACTACTGCTACTAGAATATGTAGGAAAGGTAAATTCCTTAAAGAAATTTTTTCCATCTGAATTTGTAAAGTAAAGCAAGATTGGATTTAAATCTGAAATTAATTTGTTGAAATATTTTTCAGGTGAAAGTGATTATGATGCACGGACTGGCTTGGAGTGAGGCTCCTTTACTCTACAAAAGGAAATCTACAACAGTGGGTGAGTTTGAATTTGATGTTTTAGCTATATCAATGACCTAATCTTAATTCTCTTATCTAGTCCATTTATAGGTGTGTAACCATGTCCTACTGTTACAACCCACAGGGATGATGCAGTTTGTACTGATCCTACCCCATGTCATAAAAGGGGACCAGGCAGTCTTGCAGATTTCCCTGGCTTGGCTTTTTCAGAGCTTTGCTCTACTACCCATCTACTAGATGGACTAGATTTGCATAGGTTTAGGGACCCTTAACAATGGTTACATTGTTAATTCTCACAGGGCTTGTTTGCTGAATGGGTGGATGCATCTAAAACTTTAGTGCCTGGCATGCATTGTACAGTGCTTTCAGTAGAGCATATGTACAATGTGTTGATGGCACTAAAGAGGTGGATGTACTGCACCCATTCAGGGAACAAGCTCTGCACTAAAATCAGAGGAAGGGATAGGCCTTGCTGACCCAATCTTAAAAGATTGGGTGTTAGGATTTTTTTGGCTTATAATTGGCCATTGGTGATAATAAAAGTAGTGTCCCTGTTTAATGTTTTTTTCTTTTACAGGTGATTGTCTCTGGAGTTGTCTTGGCCTTTTGGATCTTCTGTTCATCTAGGAGCATCTGTCCCACAACCTGAAACAGTAATAAATATTAGATGTATTATAAATACTATATGTAAAACTTATTAAATAAAACTATTTTAATGAAACTACTTTATATACCTTATCCTGAAATTATGCTGGAAATTGTTTACTACTATTGATGCAATGTTTAAACATTTGCAATTTTTTTACTTTGAAAATAAATACTTGGTAAAATTTACACCTATTTGTAACTTGTTACATCGGTGCATGCAAAATGCATTGAAAAGATGTAAAAGTGGACTACCTATTCAATTTTCATAAAGTAACAAATATTGCAAATTAGTCAAATATTAAAGTGGAAGAAACTTTAGTCAATATTTTAGTTTTCATATTTGAAAGTAAATTTAAAGCTATGCAACACCTAAGCTTTGTACAAATTATGATTATGATTAGTTAATTTAAAGATCATTGTTAAATTTACAAAGCATTAGAAAAGTGACATTGAAGCATCTATACAACATGGTTTTCAGTCTTTGATTAAATTCGTTACCAAAGCTCTGAAATGATTTGTCTGCCAAACTTCAGATATTCTAAAATATTTTACCTAGATTAAAACCATCAATATTTCTCAAACCAAATCTTAAGAAAATTTATCTAATTAGTAATAACAATTTTAATCATTAAATTATGAACATTATATAAAATATATACATTTAGATTGAATATAAAATTATGTAAACAATTCAATGGAGAAAAGATGAAATATCAAAGTCTTTGCTGTATTAGCCAAACTAGTCTATGCTATATTTTTATTATTTTCATAAAATAAAGATGTCTTTAAGGTTCCTAAGATATATGAAAGATATATATATATAAATAAATTTAGAATCTGACATGGAAGATGATCCAAATGATTAAGTTTTTTCAGGTCGCTCACCCATTTCAAGGAGTTAATAAACATAGTATATTATTTCTTCTTAGGTAACTGAGGGAGTGTGCCCATGAACTTGCAGATGATAGCCAGCATTACTTCCTCTGCTCCACCCCAAATTGAAACCAGTCGCATGTCACGGAAGCACCGACTTATTAAAACCTGTCAAGACAACACTGCTGTTACATTTCAGACAATCTATTATGGTGCAGCAGCTGTAACAGAATCTGCAGAGCTGATACCTGCTACTCAATACGTCCACACCAAGATACGTCATATCCAATCAGGAAGTTGGTGCAACAAATGTGCATACAGTACAAGGCACATTCTCATATGCATATTCATTGGGCATATAAGAATGTGCTGGACTTGGCACATTATATGCTGCCAAGTCTAGTATCACCCACCTAACTCTAAAGTTCTCAAATTCCGTTTTCCTTTCCCAACAAATTGTCCTCTATGCATTAAATATCTCTATCTCCAACACAGATCAACAAAACTACCTATTACACCCTAAGCCATGCCTTAAGTGGTATGGCAACTAAGTCACAGTTGCTCTCTCAGCATTGAGGCCCCTCACACCCAAGAGGGGTGCCCCCCAATTTATTTTTTTCCCCCAAAAAATCTTGTCTGTTTACTGGATGCCTGAGGAAGCAGATGTGTACCTGTGGGACTTTTAAATCTAACACGGTACCTTAAAACATCTCTGACCATGTCACACAGCCTACGGATAATTAGCAACAACATCCCTAGCTATGATGTGCACTTGAAGGCTTAAAGATTGGTTAACGTTGAATGAGAAAGGGTTTAGGGCTGAAGTGCAAGCAAAGTAATGGTGTACTGTTATTTTTAAAGTTTAACATTTTGTTACAAGTTATATTATGGGCCATGAACAGATTTAATCCTTTAGGAATACTGTATTCTGCACTTGGTGACCCTTACACTCATGAAGGTAACAAGAAAGTGCAATAGTTGTGATGAAATCACTGCAACTTTGCATAATTTTAAATAAAGACATACCTCATTTGTGCAGCCCATGCCACCCCAGAACTGAAGGCACGAGTCAGACACTTCTCTTGCCAAGCGACCAGCTTTCAGTTTACACATTGAGGCTAATTTTGTCACGTCATCTCCAGCTACATACATATCTGCAAAAATAAGAAGTCTTGATACATGTGGTTTCTTCAACAATATCAGTACTACAAAAAATTAAGCTTATACTGCTGTGAAACATATAGTATCTCAAATAACATTTTGAAGTGGTTTCTCTGCAAAAATGAAGATGAAAATAGACAACACCCACAACATCCAAGGATTGTAGCCTATATGTAACAGAAGTAGGACGAGTTGTACAGTAAAAACATTTTTAAATTGGCAAACAAAAATAACGTGCTGAATGAAACAAAATCCCCTTTTCTGGTCAGTCTCAAGAGCTCCTTGAAATTAACTCTGGTACTACCAAGCCTTGCTAAACACACCAGGACTCTAAAACCCATCCATCACCTGCCAGGACAAGATTCTGGCTCTTATAAAGTGAGGGGAAGTTTGGGATCAGAGATCCACCCAAAAAATCAGGAAAATCCAACAGAAAATATGCACACAAGAAAACAAAGTTACTTTAGGTCTCTGCCAGCCTTTCCCTATCATTATGGAACCAGTTGGTCAAAATCCCACATGAAAAGAAGGGAATAGGAAAGAAACGGAGACTAATGGAGGGCCCACTAGAAAAGAGCATTTCATTACCGTTAATACTTAATCTCTGCAAGGGGCTAGCAGTAGAGCCGTCTTACCACATCGGCCCTATGGGCACTTATCCAGAGGCCACACGAGCATAGGGGCCCCACAAGCATATGATATGTTCATTATAGAGGCAGAATGTCTAAATATTTAGGTCTTGTTGCAAGCACACTTATGTAATATAACCATACATCCTGGTGTGGAAGTAAATATTAAATATTTACGTTTTTCCAGGTGAATAACCCTTTCAGCAGAAATAAAACAATGTTTTGAGTGGAACACAGAAGAGAAAGAGAGCTGCAGAGGAGAAGGAGAAAATAGGAAACTTCCAAAATTAACATCGTGGCTCAATACAGGTGCAACAACAGCCACTCATCCCATTCCTTCAGATATAGCATCCACTTCTGCAATATCACTCACTAGTACTGTTCCTTCAGCTATAGCATCTACATCTACATCCATTCCTGCTATCAATCATCCAGTTTCAACAGACACACCATCATCACCTGTTGCGGCTACTTGTGACATTTTACAAGAGGAAATACCCAAATCTTTAATGGTAAAGGAGTTTGCAATCCAAGAGACAGATCCAGGGCAATGGAACATTAATGATACTAACCCACCGGATTACTGGATTTGTAGTGAGCCTTCATCGTGTCAGAATCATGATAGCAATCTTTCAAACTCATGCAGAGTGTATAAAACAGATGGAGTAGAAAATATGAGGGCAAGGTATTTATCAAACAATGTGTTCAAATGTGAATCTGCCTTTGCTACATTGAGGTTCAATGACTAGAAGCACAGCAATGTTATTGTAGAACATGAAAATGGAGAACATCGAAAGTGCATGACAGCATATTTGATAAGGCATAAAGAAACTGGAAGTGTAGAGTCACTTGAGCAACATCACTCAGAGCAGAAATATTGGCCCAAAATGTTGACATGTGCAGTTTTTGAAATTCTCCTTCTTGCCTCTAGAGGTTTCCACTTCGTGGAGAAAATCAGATTGTTGGGTCAGCAAAAAATGGCAACTATTTAGCTATACTAGAGCTGCTGAGTGAATTTTACCCTTTCTGTGGGGCTTTTTTGACGAGTGGTCACAAGGACGCTCAATGTCTGTCTCCTACCCTTCGTTGGGCACATAGTATGTTGTGGGAATTCAGAATTGTATGGTGTGCTCCGAGGAGGATTTTGATCCCTCCGGCCTTCATGTTCTGTTTCCATTCAGAATGTGCCTCAGGTGGTCCATTGTTTAAACCCCAGGACGCTCTTCATTGCCTCATGGAGCTGGACACTTCGAGTAGTTCTTTGACTGGATTCTTGGGGTTTGGTTCTACACACGGTTCACGTTTGTAGAGTTTCCAATGCTCTCACTTACCCTGTCTGTCTCTTCTAGTCTCTACAGAGTTGGCTGTCTGTGCCACCTCCGTCCTTTGGCTTTGAGACATTTGGGTGCCCTGATGTGGACCTCTTTGCATCTGCATGGGATCAGTACCTTCTTTTTGTGGCTTCGTTCCACGATCGAGTAGCCCTTGTGGTGGATGCCTCTTGACTGGACTATTCAAAATGAGAGTGCCTGTACTTCATCCCTGGTTCAGCTGTTGATGTGAGTCCTGGCCAGGTTGGAGTCTTTACAGGGGAAGGTGATCCTTCTGGCTCCTTGGTGGCCTGCTCACCCTTTATTTCAGGCGCTGCTTGCTCAGTGTCCAAACCCGGTCATTTTTCCATTCTTACACTTTATCCAGAAGATCTGTCCAGTGACATACTTCACTGGTTTGAACTCTGTGCTTCACATCAGGACTCTTGACATGTCTATCCACATTTTCATTGCAATTAGGTGGCTACGTCAATGGTGTCCCACCAGCGGGTGTCTTCTTGGCGGCAGTACGATGATTCTTGGCCCACCTTTCCACCTTTTGCCACTTCCTTTCTCTTCATCATTGCTCTTCCATTACCAAGCATGGGTTGGTTTCCTTTCTTTATTGGTATTTTCTTGATTAGCCTCTCATGCTGAATACTGTTGCAACGTATCGTGTGGAGCTGGCAGAGCCTCTGCAGCTTGTGTTTGGTGTCTATATTAAATAGGCATCATTTCACAAGCTGTCTAGTGTTTCACCTCCAGCCTACTCGTGTGCCACTAGAGCTTGCTTATTCCCTGGACCTCATTCTTTTTCTGGCCTTCTTGTTTATGGTGTTCCGTTTGGTCCGAGATATCTTTTCCAAAGTCATACTATTCTGGTGGCTCTTCCCTCCGGTTGTAAGGTCGTGGAGCTTCATGTTGTCATCCGTGGCTGGGGGTTTTGTTCGTTTGGCCCTGGTAGGTGTTTTTTCCAATTTGCACCTGGCTGCTCCTTTTCTGGCAAAGAACAAGTTGGCTGGGTTCTGGAGAGGTCCTTTGGTTATTGATGCTTGCTTGGTTGGTTGGTTCAGTCGGGGGTGCATCATATTGTCTGGTGGCAGCTCTCTTCTGCTACCTTCTTGCATCAATTCTGCTTCAGTGGATGCTTTGTGAGTGGATCCTGTGACCTTGGTTTCCTATTCCAAGGTTCATATTTCTCAGGTTGTCCACAGTGTTATTTAGTCTAGCTAGCCCATGGGCCATCCTCATGGCCACAATTTTTCGGAAGTACACTACTTTGGCAGTTGCTTGCTAATATGTCCTTTATCGATATTCATGCATAAGGGATTTGGCGGTTATCAAGGTTGTATCGGCCCAGTAGTTAATGTTCCCAGGGCTCTGTTTCCTTGTGTGGCCTTGGGTCGAGTCTCTCAACTACTGTTCTGTCTTCATCTTGAATGCCTGTGGTTCCACCACCTCCCTGTTAAATTCCCTGTATTTTGTAATTCCATGGGTAGTTCGCTGTAGTGAGCTGCAAGGGGCACCCCGTAGATAACCAGTCCTGAATTTAGCGAGACAAATTTTTGGGTGAGCTCCAGTGGCTCCCCGATTCCCTCCCTCCCTTCCAGGTTATCCGTTGGGGTCTGTGTGCATCTCTGCTCTTGCAGAGAGTGCTCAAGCCCATGGAGGGTGTGAGGCTCATTTTCCCCAGTCCTCCAAAATGAGCAAGCCAAAATGAGCGGGGAAGAATGCGGTGGGTGTACACGCTAGTTTTGAGAGATTCGATCTCTTGTTTGCATTGTTGGGTGGTTGCACAGCTAGATTTTTTCTTTTCTTTTCTTCTTTAAACCCAGTAGGTATCCGTTTTGGATTGCCGAGTTCCTGGATACCTTTCCCTGTAAGTCAGCAATCCAAAACAGACACCTACTGGGTTTAAAAAAAAACTAGCTGTGTAAGCAAAAGTTTGAATCTCTCAAAACTAGCGTGTTCACCAACCTCCATCTTCCCCTCTCATTTTGGCTCACTCATTTTGGAAAGGGGGTGGGGGGTGGGGGGTGGGGGGTAATGAGCCTCACACCTGCCATGAGCTTGAGCAGATATGCACACAGGCCCCAACCAATAACCTGGAAGGGAAGGAGGGAATTGGAGAGCCACTGGAGCTTACCAAGAAATTTGCATTTCACTAAATTCAGCACTGGTTATCTAGGGGGTGCCCCTTGCAGCTCACTGAAGCTAACTACCCATGGAGAAAGAAAACACAGGGTCTTTAACAGGGAGAAGGTGGAACCACAGGTGTTCAAGATGAAGACAGAACAGTAGTCGAGAGATTCGACCCAAGACCACACAAGGAAACAGAGCCCTGGGAACATTAACTACTGGGCTGTCACAACCCTGATACCGCCAAAACCCATATGCACGAACATCAAGCCAGGGCATATTAGCAAACACTTGCCAGAGTGGTGCACTTCCGAAAAATTGTGGCCACAAGGGTAGACCACAGGCTGGCTAGACTAAATAACACTGTAGACAACCTGAGAAACATGAACCTTGGAATAGGAAACCAAGGAAACAGGATCCACCCACAAAGCATCCACTGAAGTAGAATTGATGCAAGAAGGAGAGGAGCTGATGCAAGCAGGAGAGAGCTGCCACCAGACAATATGATGCACCCCCAACTGAACCAACCAAGCAAGCATCAATAACCAAAGGACCTCTCCAGAACCCAGCCAACTTGTTCTTTGCCGGAATAAGAGCAGCCAGGTGCAAATGAAAAAAAAAAACCTACCAGGGTCATACGAACAAAACCCCCAGCCACGGATGACAACATGAAGCTCCACAACCTGACAATCGGAGGCAAGAGCCACCAGAAAAGGAATCTCGGACCAAAGGGGACATCATAAACCAAGAAGGGCTGAAAATGAATGAGGTTCAGGGGATAAGCAAGTTCTAGTGGCATACGAAAAAGCCGGAGGTGAAACAACACTACAAATAGCTTGCGAAATGGTGCCTATTTAGTATCTACACCAAATGCAAGCTGCAGAGGCTCTGCCAGCTCCACATGATACATGGCAACAGTATTCAGCAAGAGATGCTAATCAAGAAAACACCAATAAAGAAAGGAAACCACCACATGCTTGGTAATGTAAGAACAATGATGAAGAGAAAGGAACTGGCAAAAGGTGGGCCAAGAAACCTTATACTGCCACCGAGAAGGCAACCACTGGCGGGACACCATCAACGTAGCCACCTACTTGCAATAAGAATGTGGATAGGCATGTCAAAAGTCCTGATGTGAATCACAGAGTTCAAACCAGTGAAGTATGTCACTGGGCAGATCTTCTGGAAAAAGTGTAAGTGTAGAAAAATGGCCGGGTTTGGACACTGAGCAAACAGCGCCTGAAACAAAGGGTGAGCCGGCCAACAAGGAGCCAGAAGGATCACCTTCCCCTGGAAAGACTCCAACCTGGCCAGGACTCACAGTAACGGCTGAACCAGGGATAAAGTACAGGATCTCTCATTTTGAATAGTCCAGTCAAGAGGCATCCACAACAAGGGCTTCTCGATCGTGGAACGAAGCCACATAAAGAAGGTACTGATCCCATGCAGATGCAAAGAGGTCCACATCAGGGCACCCAAATGTCTATATGCCGAAGGACTGAGGTGGCATAGACAGCCAACTCTGTAGAGACTAGAAGAGACAGAGACAGGGTAAGTGAGAGTATTGGAAACTCCACAAACGAGAACTGTGTGCAGAACCAAACTCTGAGAATCCAGCCAAAGACCTACTCGAGGTGTCCAGCTCCATGAGGCAATGAAGGGAGTCCTGGGGTTTAGACAATGGACCACTTGGACACATTCCGAATGGAGACGGAACGTGACTGCTAGAGGAATCCAAGTCTTCTTCGGAGCATGCCACACAATTGTGAATTCCCACACCATACTATGTGCTCATTGAAATGTAGGAGACGGACATTGAGCATCCTGGTAACCTCTCATCACAAAGCCCCACCCCAGAGCTGTGGCATCTGTGAAGACATTGAGCAAGCACCGTTGAGTAAAGTGCTAGGGAATTGAACCCTGCAAAGCCTGAAAGGAAAACCAGCAATGCAGCAGCCAGCAAAAAAGCCAACCGAGTTTGTTCACCGAAATGTAGCACTGCTTCGACAGACAGCAGGACTGCAGCCAGAGCAAAGTTGCTGGAGGAAGGGAAAGCAATGCCAACTGAGAATCCCAATTGAGCACTGGGCAATACCGAATCTGAAACAGAACCAGCCAGGATTCCCTCCAGTTCACCCAGAACCCAAACCCAACAAGCCGAGATCCCTGGCTAACAGACATGCAGACTAACTAAGTCCAAACCATCCAGTTAGGCTTCAAGTTAGGGAGGCCAGAACACGAACCTCCATCATCTGAAGACGAGCCACCAAAACTAGAGCCAACCTGGTAAAATCCAGGGAGCCAAATTCAGACCAAAATGGAGAACCTGAAAGCGGAAACCCTGACGTCCTTCCTATGAAAGCAACCAATCCCTGAATCTCTGATGTATTGTCTTGACATTATGCATCCCAGAGGTCCAGGGAGGTCAGTCAAGTAGGTGCATCAATGACCAGGCAAGCTTGAACTAAGGGGGTCATCCAGAGTTGGGCAAGGGATGTACCAGTCCAGCCCCGAAAGATCGAGGATGAACTGTAGCTCCACAGAGTCCTCTTTCGGGACTAGGAAGAGACGGGACACCCACTGAAGCGATGTGATCACTTGGACCATGCTGGAAGACCCCAAAATGATGCAGCACAGGAAAGGAAAGAAGCGTGCCCCAAAATCTGGACCCCTACAGTGGGGGGAGGGTCTGACCAACTTCACTGTGGGTTGTACGAGACAACCCAAAAAGCCCATGAATTGTGGGACCAGAGCTGGCAGACTGGGTGAGCCTCCCCCTCCCCCCCCACTACCTTACTTCCTCATACTTTTCAGTTTGCCCTTGCCTCCTTGAAAGCCAACAACTATATCATTATCCTTCCTTTAGGCGGAGGCAATTCAGTGGTTGTCCTTGATCATGTGGACTACCACCAAAAGGTTGAAGTTTTGCTGCCCAACTTGCATATATATGCTCCTCTGGATCTCTTAAAACGTCTTTTAACCATAACTAGTACAGCTCTCTAAGTCTTGGTCACGGTGAAGACTTGGATCTTGTTAAACATTTCTGTGTCATTTGCCCTTCTCCCTTATTTCTATTGTCTACCTAAAACTCTCAAACCTGGTGTTCCTCTTCATCCTATTATTTATGAATAGAGACTGTTTGCTATTCTCTTGCCTCCTGGCTTTTGCAAAACTCTTCGCTACTTATTACTTTTTCTCCTGCCCACCTTCCTCACTCTCAGGACTTCATCAAAAGATTACTGCTGCAGCCTTCCTCCAAGATTCTTAGTTTTACTGTTGATTTTCTTTTTTACTAAAGTTCCCCTTGATGATGATCACTCTTTCCTTAGAAGGTGACCGAGGGCCTTCTTCATCTCCCTCTTCCTACTGACATTTCCCCTCAAACTCATTCAGGCTGTGTTAACTCATCCTCTTTCAGTGGAAAATACTTTCAAACTTTCAGTGTTGCTTAGGTTACCCCTAACCCCCTCCCTCCTTTCTATATCTATTTTTGCCAATCTCAATGTGGAGTACTTTGAAACTTCTTCGTCCCACCGTTGACACTAGTCTCCTTCTCTGGCTTTGCTACATTGAAAACTTTTATGCTGTCTTGCCTATGACTTGTCTTTTCTAACCTTTCTTTTTGTTTCTTAACAATCTGGCTCCTATAGAGCCAGATTGTTCAAGTAGAGACCAAGTAGAACTAGTTGGTCTCTTTTTTTTAACACAGGAATTTACCGGATGTGTGTCTCCCTCCCCCTGCAATGCCCCAAAAGCCTCTCACTTACCCGACCAAGTAGAAAACTCGTCGCACATACTGGCCTCTAAATCATCTTGTCCAGCTTCGTCACAAAGAATCTTCTTGTTCCCGTGAAAGTTCAAACGTGAAGTCGGTATCTTGTTGGGATTTGATTAGCACATCAACTTTCTGAGACACAAGCAGAATTGGGATGCATGAAGCACTATCACCACCTCCCTGGAATGTGAAAGCCAATCAATGATCACCCTTTACGACTCTAATCAGGTCACCACCTCCCCCTCCCGTCTGCACACATCGCCCTGCCCACAACCAGTCCCCCTACACACACACACACACACACACACACACACACACACACACACACACACACACACACACACACACACACACAGAGCCACCTCTTTTTTCCCTCCTCTTTCCCTGTTCTCTATACACACTACCTCCCCACCCCCTCCCTCCCACTCTCTACCCCCATCACTAATAATTTTCCCAATACATCTCCATCACTAACCAAATAGTTGCCCCCTGATTGCAAATCTTCCAACTATTATACAAAAGTGCTAAAGTCTGTAGACTTGTATAGTAACGGAACATTTCACATCCACAGACTTCGGGAAGGAAGGACATTGAGGCTGTGCCTCAATCCACTGCCTCCCTCTTCACTAGTCCGACTCCGACCACCACCTTCCCCGAAGTCAGTCCCGATAAAATCGCTAATAATTGCTGTTAATTACTTCCCCGTGAATTGTATCATATCTGTACATTGAGTGAATACTTGTTCCCATTTTCTAACATCACAAGCATTGGGTTGGAATTCAGTATGTATTCCAAATACATGGAATAACCATGTATTTGCTATGTTTGGAAAAAGATAGTGTAGGATTTCATTGCAAAGATAGAAATAAAACTTCACTGTAAGCCCTTATATAATGTGTGGCAATTCATTCTTGCCTATCCTAATAAGAGGCTGCTAGATTCTATCTGTTTGGGAGGGAGGAGGGGGGGGGGGGCCCACCACCTTTGGTGCATTGCAAATATCAATTGCATGTTGAATTACCTTCCAAGCCATTAGGAGTTATCAAAAGTGTCTAATTAGGAAGGGTTTGAGAATTGCTGGGTACCCCATCTAGTCTGCTAATATGACAAGTTGTAAACTTAATTCAAAGCTTCTGTGCATTATGGATAACGCATACTGAACCCTAATTACATGTGTCGTCTTATTGTAAGATCTTTAATTCACAACCAATTTTGTTAATATTTTATACCAAAAGTAGAGACGCATTCCAGAGGCCTCTAAGAACAAAAAATTTCCCAATAAAACACCATCTGTGTGTTTGTGTGTAAAACACAATACTACCTACTGAAGCACACAATGATCAATACAAAAAGTTAATTAAGAAATGTTTAGTAAAATTGAAAGCACTTTTTGCTCAAGAAAAGAAAATGAAAACATTAAACAAAAGGGAACCACTTTATTACTCACTAGGGGATAAACCATGCTGCGCACCCCACCATCCAAACCCTAAAGACAGCGAAGACAATCGGTCAAAGGACAGAGACTGGCAGTGAAGTAGGATCTTGGGCAGGCACCAGTCTGAGGATTATACAGGAGGCATGAACAAAAATGCTTAGAAGTTAAGATATAGTAACATGGAGCTGCCACCGAGCATAATATATCAAAGAATGGACACTAAGCCCTTGTCAAAAAGAGGGCCCCCCCTCTGGACACCATTCGTCTCGTTCTTGGCTAATACTCTGTACGAGGAGCAGAGTAGAAAGAACAGAAACAGTAGTTAATAAGTAATTATCAAAAGAAGGTACGAGACATTAGCCAAGGCTGAAGCGTCCAGAAGGAAGTTAAGAATCACAGCTCACAAAACTCCAGCTTTCTGAGACTTGCAAAAAGTATAGAGACTTTAGGAAGCTGATAAATCTGTCCAAATCATGGAAAGAAGCCACATATAGGAAACTGATCGTTCGTACAAAGTAGAAGATACATGTGCGGAGCGTTGAACATGTTGCATATCTTCATGGAGTCCTCGTCTGTTCCCTATTCTGACTTCCTAATACAATACATTGGACACCTTGCAAATGTGAACTCCCTTGGACTAAATCCTGAGAAGCCAAAGATAAGCTATGACCAGCATCCAGTACCACAATGCTGTTGCCCAAAACGCTGTGCGTATTAGTGGCTTTTGGTACTGTATGTACTAGCTTGTATCTATAAATCCAACATTATGTTTGTAACTCATCTTCTATGTACTGTATATAATTGTATCTGAATAAAAATTTTGATTGATTTTTTTTATTTTAACGGGAGGAATCTCGCTGAACCTTCTCTTTTGAGATAAATGACCAATGGAGCACTGTTGGGGTAGAGAAATACAGCCAAGCCTCTTTGAAGAGGGATGCATTTAAACCCTATCCTTATTCCTGTCCCCCATCCTAAGTTCTTATACAGACTCCTTCCAGGTGCTACATAGTCGTAATGGCTTAACGCTTTCTCCCGATAATTCCTTTCCCTACCCAATCCAGACTGTTGCGGTTCCCAGAATGTTAACATGAGCAAATATAAATATTGTAGACCGCCATTCCCTGTCTAGCGTGATGAATGGTGGAGATGAAGCCCTATTCCTCACTCGACGTGTTGGTAACAGTTCAAGATGATTCTTCTGCATATACCAAACGATATGCAGAAGAATCCGATAGAACAAGATTCCTGAAAGTTAGTAGGGGACTGGACACTGATCCCCGAATCAGTAACTAGCAAAAGAATGGAGAAACTGCTACAGAGCCTCTAAATCATGCCGAGATTATAGCGAGATAAATATTACATTTACAAATATTTTATGTAATGCCCAGGAACATTAAGACCAAGTTATTTGACCCAAAATGGAAAACCACTTGGGAAATAATCACAGGAACACAAACACAGCCCGTGTTCATATTCCTGTACTATTTATTGTACATCTTCAACTTTGAGTCAAGAACCAGTGCAGCTGGCTGTACTAAGACGTGTTATTTGCTGATGACCCAATTCTATTGTTACTTTCCTTCCAAAGATGATGTGGAAAATTTGGCCAGAACAATTAAAGATCTAGTGCTGAATATAACGTTACGCTCAACCGTAGTAAATATGCTGAAGTTATTTTAAATACGCTTAACTCATCGTTCATGATTTACATACTACAAATGGCCGAAAATTGTGTGAGTGCATGATGTGAACTATGGGACCTGCATATTGCATACCTTGGCAGCCTGGACCATTTATGGTGCAAAGGTTCAAGACGTATCTTAGATGTCCGTCCATCTACGCACTCACTGTGATCTACTGCTTGGCCTTATGTTCACGTCTACACCTGAAAAATAATTAAATGGAATAATGTAAAAAATTACCCATCTAGCCAACAGTTTTGGCGTTTAATTTTTATTTTTTGCACACTTAATAATTGGTCACAATCTCAGTTGTTAGGTCATAACCGAAAAGTCCCGGGTTTGATTCCCGCAATAGGACAGAGACGTCTAGGCACGTTTCCCTTTTTAGCGGCCCCAATAATTTAGGTTCCCCCCCCCCAAGTGGATACGGGCCTCAAAAGTTATTTGTACGTTCTCAAAGTCGGCAACTTCTACAGCTTTAATAAGGCTGTTAGTGTGCAACAATATTCCACCCTAGAGTGTTAAAATTACCATTTTGGTCTGTCATCTCGTTTGAAAGGTTCTTGTTATCCAACCTGTCATTTTTCTTGCCTGTAATTGTGACAGCTACTTCATTAGGGTGGCGAGAGATGGCTTGCGGAAGTGCCAGAACTAGTGCCGGTGTGGTCAGGGGCCGGATAATGGACCAATGCTAATGACAGGGTTGTCTGGGATGCCTTTGGAGGCTTAAAATCGATCTCAGGGTGGATAGGAAGGGCTAGGGCTGGGTAGCGAGGACCAGAACTATAGGTTCAGAGCAGGCTGTGGAGGGCGGGAATCAACGTGAAGATAGAGATAGTAGAGTTAGCTAGAAAAGCCAGAACTGGAATCAGTAGTCGTGGCTAGTGGGCTAGAAATACCAACGAAGTGCCAGCGTTGGGAAGAGCTTGATCAGTCCCGGTCAAGAAGGGAAGAGAAGGACTGGGCGGGGGGCTGGTGGTTAAAGACTTACTAGGGCCGGGGAGCGGTCAGGGCCCGGGGCAAGAGAGTCCCTGCTGGGAGCCCGCCGCGCTCTGCTCACCATAATTGACACTAAATGGATTTTCCTGTCGGTGGTACTAATTGGCTGTGTCTACACTGAGGCGCCGGGCAAGATAACGCGCCTCATCTCTCTCCTCCACTGCCGCCATCACCACAACAACATCCAACACTTACCGCCACCAGGGGGGGGCCTGACGGCTGAGTGGACAGCGCTCAGGATTCTTAGTCCTAAGGTTCCGGGTTCGATCCCCGGCGGAGGCGGGAACAAATAAGCAGTTTCTTTCACCCTGATGCTCTGTTCTCCTAGCAGTAAATACGTACCTGAGAGTTAACCAGCTGCTACGGGCTGCTTCCTCGGAATGTGTAACAAAAAGGAGGCCTAGTCGAGGACCGGGCCGCGGGGATGCTAAGCCCCGAAATCATCTCAAGATAACCTCAAGATGACTATCACCACCGCTACCACCATCTGCCTACCTACCTGCCTGCCTTGTTGTAGTTACTGGAGTCGCTCTTCTCCGCGGCCCGTTCTCTGACCAGCCTCCTGGCTGCTCGTCGTCTGTGCTGTGGCTCCCCGCTGCTCTCACACCCACGAATGCTCGGCCCTTTGGAAGAGTTTGGCAGTTCCCTCTTGAATACAGAGATCTGTTGGCAATGAAACTTATTTAGAGGGGTTGGATTGCTTCAAGAATAAAACATGTGTATGAAAAAGCAACACGGCGGCGCAATCAATCCACATCTTGGGTCATGCCCCCTGGGTGTTGGTCAGCTGTCACGGGTTGCTTCCTGGGGGTGGAGGCCTGGTCGAGGCCGGGCCGCGGTGACACCCCCATCTCAAGATAACCCACCCCCAGACGCGCCCCCAACCCTTCGACCACCATAAAGGGGCGCGTTTGGTGTTACCCACGGACCCTGGCTCAATCCCACTTGTACTGCGCCTAAGATTTTCCGAGATATATCAAGTTATTGCAGTTACACTCTGTACACTCGCAGGCAATGAGTCACAATAACGTGGCTAAATTATGTTGACCAGACCACACACTAGAAGGTAAAGGGACGACGACATTTCGGTCCGTCCTGGACCATTCTCAAGTCGATCAAGTCGACGACGAAACGTCGTCGTCCCTTCACCTTCTAGTGTGTGGTCTGGTCAACACTGTACACTCCTTTTAATATTTCCCAGATAATACAATTTAAAAGGACTTTAGTCATTCCCAATAATGTAGGCGTTTTACTGAATGGATTCCGACAGTCAATGTTCTCTCAACGTTCGCAAGCTCAGCAACATTACAGGCCTTAAATGGCGTAGTTAGTATGCAACAATATTGCACCCTCTAGGTGCTGGTTTATTGTAAAGGGTCGTCAGTGGCGTGTACCAGAGTTAGTAAACCTTTCCAATTTGCATCCGTGGAGGAAGATCAGCCGTCGTTGGCCTGTGAGGACCTGGATTAACCTAACAAGTTTTTTAACCCCGACAACTGGAAACCACAACAAATTAGGAAATGTAGATGTTTATCTCTCAGAATGTTCGGTAATACGTTTATTGTTTGTGATGTGTGTCTATGTATGTATTAACACGATGTACTGAACGGGGTGAGAATAGCTTGAGCTACCTCATCCCTTTGTGTGTATTTTACCTCAATAAACTTATTTCAATTTCAACAACAAATTTTCACCCCCCCCTCTTCCCCACTCGTTTTCCTCGCTCTATGGGACCGTTTAACGAAGTTATGCATTACAAATTAGTTATAATTTTCTAATTTTCCGTATAGTGCAGAAGCTGGATTTGTTACGCATTACGTTGGATTTAGCGCAATGACGACAGAAGAGCGTGCAGTTCCAGCTTGTGTACACGTCAACAACGAATGTGTAAAAGTAACTAAACAGTGAAAGTCTAGAACATCAAAAGCTTCAGTGAAACTTTTCACCAGCGTCACTACCACAACCAACAACAATTATTGCTTCACTTGCACCATAACCAGTTACAACTATTTTCACCAACAACTAGATTCACCACCAGCAACCACCACCACAACCTCACTAACAGCAAGAGCAGAACTGTATAACCAGGTACAGCTTAATTCCCTAATATGCGTTTTATTGGTCAGGATGATTTATGCGGCACGTAATGGAGCGTAAAGTCCGTCTCCTGGAGCAGAGCGCCACCCCTTCCCTGACGACCCTCTTCTCACACTCTTTTCATTCCCTCAGAACAGGTTGAACTCTCAAATTTAACCCCCCCCCCTAGAACCGTTGTCAATCATCGACATTACTCGCAGCTGGAACCCCAAGAACCGTTGTCAATCATCGGCATTACCCGCAGCTGGAACCCCTAGAACCGTTGTCATCTACACGTTAGTACCTGCAGGTATTTTTGATCGGATATGGCACCAGGGGCTACGCTCAATCACGTGGTATCTCGGGCTCTATCTGCAGCTAATAAGGCACCGCCTTCAAGAGCGGACCGCAAGAGTAATAATTATATTGGACCAAGAATCTGAAAGCCACTCAATGGGCGTCAGTCTGCCACAGGGTATAGCATGCTTGGTCCCTTATTGTGTCATGTTTACTTCAACGATTATCTACCTATTCCTGAAGATGGCACTACATCCTTAACACGAGAGTATCACGGACTACTGCGAGACGATGGTCTCGGGGTCCCATGGCTGACTCAGAGTGGCACATTTTAGTGCACTTAATCGGAAAATCTGCCCTCGAGCGCACAGGTACAGAAAGTCCTTTTTTCATTATGATTGGATTTTAGTCTGGCATGTTTTTGTATCATGGGAAGCTCACATTGCTAGCAACAGGGTGATGGCACGATGACTTGTGTCCAATAGATATTTTGAACGAATTATAGGCATTCAGGACAGAGAACGAGGGCCATGGCACCGACTATTTTGAACTGTGTTGACGTTGAAAAAGCGGATGCCATCGAGCCAGTCGGGAGGAAGGGAATTACAGGAGAAAGCGTCACGCCACCACGGCAATATAGAGCTTGGGAAGGATAAGGATATGGGATGGGACATGGGGAAAGGAATGGTCCCAAACCACTTGAGCTGTCGGGGATTGAACGCCGACTTGCATGAAACGATACACGTCCAGCCCAAGTGGTTGGGGTAAAATGTGACCCTTGCGTCTACTTGCAACCGTCGCGAAGGAAGGACGGAAGGAGGGGGTGGGGGAAGAAGAGATGTATTTGTGATGTCACCTTATAGCCATCACGGGTGGACTTAGGCTATTGGATTTCACACCTCTGCCTTGCTGCCATTAGTAAGCTTTAGAGCCCTGACAGTTGCGGTCCTAGGTGGCCTTAGTGAGTAGATACTCCTGTGCCCACTACCATCATTCTTACCAGCAACCCTGCACATAGCGGGTGTTCTGTCTATCGGCCAGTAGAGAGAACACACCATTAAGTTCCTTGACCGTCAAGTTACACCATCACATTTTAATTGAATATAAACTCGCATCCACATGGAATCCCGACCGTAAATTGTATACAAGCAGTTCGAGTGAGTGATAAAGAACTGGTTTGTTCCCATCCTGAGTGTGCGCCGTTGTCCTGATTGCCTCCACCTCCGATTTATCCGAATGTTACGCAAGGTAGAAAACGGATCAAGAAGATTCGCCTCTTAAATCTTTACTCGTTCTGGTTACATTGGTCAAAATATCATAATCTTCAGTAAGAGATGTTGGTGTCTTTATCGTTATGTACAAGCTCAGTGCTCAATGTCACCCACCTGGACCACTTGCGGGGCCAACCAGCTGCTAGTCAAAACATCACAAGGCACTCGGCAATCAACACAACAGCTCTTTTCCTGGCTGTGCTTGTCTGAGGAGGTTATCTTGAGATGATTTCGAGGCTTTAGTGTCTCCGCGGCCCGGTCCTCGACCAGGCCTCCACCCCCAGGAAGCAGCCCGTGACAGCTGACTAACACCCAGGTACCTATTTTTACCTATTTTACTGCTGGGTAACAGGGGCATAGGGTGAAAGAAACTCTGCCCATTGTTTCTCGCCGGCGCCCGGGATCGAACCCGGGACCACAGGATCATAAGTCCAGCGTGCTGTCCGCTCGGCCGACCGGCTCCCCCAGCGAGCCGGTTCCTCCCCCAGAGAGGAGCATCACTCCACCCGCGAACATTTCATTCCGCGGCCGACGCCTTCGTGGAACCTATTTTTCTCAACGTGTATATACGTGTGAAACCATTATCTGAAGACTTCGGCACACAATTGGTTCCTGGTTTATCCTGTACTATTCATGATTTGTAACATGCTTTAAACCATGTTTATTCCTAATACAAAAAATTATCGCATTAAATTGATTTCTAGGGTCAAGCGTTAATTTAGAGACATCAGCACCACTGAGAGAGGGAAAAAAAATAAAAAGATAGCCTAAAATATGAGTGTGCTAACGTATGTGCACTGAATACAGAAATAGAAAATGTATAGCAATAGGCAACATACATTACAGATATTCATCAGTATACAAAATGAAATGGGCTTCGTTGTGACGGTGACTAAGCGTTGACTGTTCTCCATCTGTCAGTGTCAAAATCTGCATAGTGAGCAGCAGCAGCAGCAGCAGCGGCAGCAGCAGGCAGCAGCAGCAGCCTTCTTCATGGTGGACTTGAAATTATAATCTCTCGACTGTATATGCAACAACAGCTCTTCTTCCGGTAAATAGCCCACACCTCTTGCCGCTCCTCTTTGCCACGGTCCTCTTGCCTCCTCTTTGCCACGGTCCTCTTGCCTCCTCTTTGCCACGGTCCTATTGCCTCCTCTTTGCCACGGTCCTATTGCCTCCTCTTTGCCACGGCCCTCTTGCCTCCTCTTTGCCACGATCCTCTTTGCCACGGTCCTCTTGCCTCCTCTTTGCCACGGTCCTCTTGCCTCCTCTTTGCCACGGTCCTATTGCCTCCTCTTTGCCACGGTCCTATTGCCTCCTCTTTGCCACGGTCCTATTGCCTCCTCTTTGCCACGGTCCTATTGCCTCCTCTTTGCCACGGTCCTATTGCCTCCTCTTTGCCACGGTCCTATTGCCTCCTCTTTGCCACGGTCCTCTTTGCCACGGTCCTCTTGCCTCCTCTTTGCCCACTGTCCTCTTGCCTCCTCTTTGCCACGGTCCTATTGCCTCCTCTTTGCCACGGTCCCACCCTCGCTTCTCCTGTATTTCCATTTTTGTTTTGTCTTTTACCCTAATTCTCTTCCTCTGCTTCATTACCTTCCTTCTTTCTTCCCCTTTCCCTCTGCACTTCATTCTCTTTCTTGGCCTCCCTGCCCTCCTTATCTCTATGCTTCTTATTTTCATTCTTCATATACACTTTCTCACTGCCTCCGTTCCTTCCTTAGACGTGTTCAACTTTTTTTTCATACCGTCCTCTCTACCGACCCCCCCTTTCATATCTATGTTTCATCCCCTTCTTTCATTCCTCTTTTTCTTACCTCCTTCCCTCTGTCTGTCTGTCTAGCTGCTCCGTTCTCCGTCCGTTACCTTCTTGCCTTTTTTTTTTTTTTTTTTTTTTGAGTAAAGAGAATGGAGAGGCATAGGTGAAGTTCCCTTCCTTGCACCTCCCCCTCCCTTCCTCCCCTCCCCCATCTTCCCCCCCCCCCGGCCCTCCCTCCCTCCCTTCCTCCCCGCTCCCAACTACCCCCCCCCCTGCCCTCCCTCACTGCCCCAACTACCCCCTGCCTTCCCCCTTTAAAACAACCCCCTGCCCCTGCCTTCCCCCCCCATCAACTACCCCCTTCCCCCCCCCCATCAACTACCCCACTGGGCAGTTGCCAGCCGCTGGTCAGTTCCTTACTCGTCTCTGAGCAGAAATTCATTTGGTTCTGCGGAAGATAATTATAACCCGCAGTTGATTTAAGGCGGAATCCTAATCACCAACGAGTGTATAAATCACCCTAAAGTCTTCCCCGACGTCGAAGATCTCACTCAACATGGGCTTCTCTCTCTCTCTCTCTTCCATTCACCACAAGTGTTGAGTGAGTGAGTGAGTCTCTTTTTTTTTAGTATTTGCGCGTGTGCGTGGTGTGTGTATGTGTTCTTATCGACTTAGGTTTGCAGGACCGAGCTTCAGCTCTTGGGCCTCGCCTTGAAATTTTCAACTAGCGACCATCTACTGAAATGGTTCCTGACCATTGTTACTCTTTACATCTGCTTATTAAAAAGATAGGAAATGGAGGTAACTTCTACTTTCCATTCCGGTTGGTTCCCTATGTCCACTGGCCTTACAAGGTAGAAGTTCTTACACCCTTAACACCAGTTCCTACACGGCCTGTTGGACCAAGCTCTCACTAGTCAAGCCTGGCCTCGAGCCGGACTTGGGGAGTAGAAGAACTCCCAGAACCTCATCAAGCAGTTACCCCCCCCTGTGGCTCATCCTCGGGCTGTGAGGAGTTGTCCTCTCCCAACGTCAGTGCTCAAACGTTTTGTCTATTCCAGTGATACTTTGGAGTTTGTCGTGTATGTGTGGATAATGTAGCCTCAGTTCTTGATCTAACTCCAGAACTCAATTCAGTCTTATCAACTCCCTGAAGTGCTACTCTCGCGACTGACTCTGCTCGTGTTGCACTCCAAGCATCACGAGTTGTAATTACGGTGTTTAAGATAAGCTCGGTTAAATTTTCTTCATCACCAGGCTATCGGGGATGATTTAAAATGTGTTTCACACGACAGAACACAGCCACACATGCCTAGTCATCAATAATGTTCACCAACTGCTATGACTGAACGACAGTAAATAGTCGAAAACTATAACTACTTCACCAGCGATCGTCTATAAGGATTGGTTAGTCCTTGAGCTTATTAACTAACACTTGTGGTGCAATTTCTGCTCAGTTTTTATCAAAGCCTAGTCCTCGCTCGGGTCGCGCTGAGCACACAACGTGAAGTTTAAATGGGCCCCAAGTCATAAACCTCTTAAGAACTCTTATGTCCCATTGGTCCTAACAAGAGCGGCTTAAGGCAATATAGTGACCCCCGTCACAAAATAGAGTGAAAAGTGACCCAAAATTTACCAGTGGAGGCTAATGATCACACATTGTCCTTCTATAACTAACCATCTTGTGTGATGGAGACTTTTAGCATCACGTAGCTAGTTCTTGACACACTGTACTCCCCCTACATATAGTCTAGGGCAGCTGCACAAATGCACATATAAATAAGTATGTTAATAAAAACAAAAACAAAAAATCAGAATTAAATATAAGCCAGATGGGGAAGGAGGAGTATTGGCTAGGAGGGAGTTTTGCTAGGAAAATGTAGCTCGGATTGATTGATTGATGAAGATTAAGCTACCCAAAAGGTGGCACGGGCATGAATAGCCCGTAAGTGGTGGCCCTTTGGAGCCATTACCAGTATCAATAGCTGATACTGGAGATCTGGAGGTGCAACTGCACCCTGCGTGACGGGAGATTTCTCCCGTGTGTAGCTCGGAGGAGGGTGAGGGTGTATATACGAGGGGGTGTAAGGGTGCAGCAACGAGGGGGTTGTGAGGGTGCAGCTAAGAGAGGGGTGACGCTAGGGGGAGGGGGGGGAGGGAAAGGTAGGGCGTGTGGGGGTCTAGAATCAAGATATTGTCAGGTAATAATAATCCACCAACAAAAGCACGTCACCTGATCGTCGTAACTGCCGCTGGTGCGTCGTTGGCTGGTCACATCGACCAGGCTGCTGGTCACTGATGTCGACTAATGTTGTGTCCTTTCGGCGTCTCTTACTGCTAGTCTACGGACTGTTGCACATCTCACACTCACACAGACCTCGCGACTGGACGACAACGGTCCTCTGCTGGTAACTAGACAAGCGAGACTGGACACAAAGTCACACAGCCCGTCCTCAACAGCAATGTGAAGTGCTCGTTAATACACCCACGCCAAACCCGCTGTTTATGAATGAAAAACGGTTTACACACGACTCACAATTGCTGATATTCGAACACTTCCGGAACAAGTGCTTCACTGCTGACGAATTTTGTTTGAACCACAACGCTGTAAATGCTTCACCCACGTACTACAAGTACAAATAATCGCCAACAGAACCTAAATACCTAACCTAACCTATGCCTATATGTGAACAATATGCTAATATATTATAATATTAATTTATATTTGAGAAAATTCCCGTTTTCAATGAACAGCATGTTAACATTTATGAATGCGTCTGTGGGGTCGACCGCTAGATGTAATGGACTTGAGTCGAGGACGGGTTGCAGTAAATGCTTCACCCACGTACTACAAATACAAATAACTACCAATAGAACTTAAACACCTAACCTAACCTAACCTAACCTAACCTAACCTAACCTAACCTACGCCTAACTCCACGTAGAACATTAACATGTAACATCCCAGTCCAAGGAGAATGGGAACTGTGAGGCAGGATATATATAGCGGGACCGGAGAGACAACTGGCACGATGGGAGACATCTCCCGTCACGCAGGGTGCAGTCGCACCTTCACAGATCTCCAGTATCATCTATTGATACTAGTAATGGCTCCAAAGGGCCACCACTTACGGGCTATTCATGCCCGTGCCACCTTTTGGGTGGCTTAATCATCAATCAATCAGACAACTGGACCCGGGGCAGGATCACGAACGGGAATGGAAAGCTGTGAACGAGCATCCAGGATGGTTATAAAAGGTAGCTGGCGGCATCTTGGACGACATTACGGGCTATTCATGCTCGTGCCACCTCTTGAGTGGCTTAATTTTCATCAATCAATCTTGGACGTCCGACGGTGCGAGCGGGGCTCGTACCGTAGGCAAGTAAGTGGATGGGAAGCTGGGTGTCACGTGATCCTCTAAAGCCAGTGACACGTGATAAAGAGCTCTCCTCCCCTTATCTTGAGATGATTTCGGGGCTTAGCGTCCCCGCGGCCCGGTCCTCGACCATGCCTCCTTTTTGCTACACATCCCCCGGGAAGCAGCCCGTAGCAGCTGTCTAACTCCCAGGTATCTATTTACTGCTAGAAAACAGGGATATCAGGGTGAAAGAAACATTATTCCCATTTGTCTCCGCCTCCACCGGGGAGCGAACCCGGAACCTCAGGGCTACGAATCCGAAGCACTGTCCACTCAGCTGTCAGGCGCCCTAATTTCAGATGCTCAAATTTCAGGAGCCAGTCCCCCGACTCGTCATGGAGAGACTTGGGAATAAAGTCACCGCCTCTAGTAGTGATTGTTGCGCCTCCTGGAGAGTGACGCCCTCTTCTACCAGGGGCCACCTTCAATAACCTCAACACCAGGCAAGATGGAGAAATCAGAGAGAAGAATGGAGAATTGTGGTGGGCTGAGGATCACACCTTGTGGGCCCTCGTGCGTGGTCGAGTGAGATGTTTACTTCCCACCGCAACCCGTTCTCGCACTTTCTTACAGTCAATATTGACTTATTAAATAAGTGCATATGTGACATACTAATTTATTGTGAATATTTTAGTTTACCTTGAAAAGCTTCATAGAAAACACCGACCTTACCTAACCTTCTTAGTATGTTAAGATAAGCATCTTATTGCTTCGTAATTACAATTATTACTTAACCTATACCTATACTAGGTTAAGTAATAATTGTAATTAAGAAGCAATAAGATGCTTATCTTAACATACTAAGAAGGTTAGGTAAGGTCGGTGTTTTCTATGAAGCTTTTCAAGGTAAACTAAAATATTCACAATAAATTAGTATGTCACATATGCACTTATTTCATAAGTCAATATTAACTATACGAAAGTGCGAGAACGGGTTGCCCACCGCCACCCGGAAAGAGCTGCCCACAAAATAATTCTGCAACTAACTAAGAGCCGACACTGAGAGTCTAAGACGGTTTAGGTCCTGTAGGACTGCATTATGGGGTGTAGAGTCGAAAGCTCCTTTGAAGTCAAAGCATACCGCAAGGAGAAGCCTTTTCTGGTGGTCAGTGTCCAGTATACGGCGTCCCAAGGACAGGAGGCAGCCCATCGTGCTCCTCCGTGGGCGAGATTTACTGAAGCTCTCCGGTAAGAGCAACCGGTAAGGTTAGGTTTGAGTTATACTTGGTCAGTCATTGCCCTGTCAACACCCCCAACAGCCCCCACCAACCCCAACAGCCCCCCACAAACACCCCAACATCCCCCATCAACAGCCCCCATGCACCAACAGCTCAAAAGCCCCCATCAACAGCCAAACAGCCCCCACCAACACTCCAACAGCCCCTACCAACAGCCCAACAGCCACCACCAACAGCCCAACAGCCCCTACCAACAGCCTCCAGATCAGCCCCCCATCAACACCCCAACAGCCTCTACCAATAGCCCCCACCAACAGCCCCCACCAACAGCCCCCCCACACCCCCCCTACCACCCCCACCATTCGAGGACACGGGCAAGACCCACGAGTCTTCCCCTCAACTAATTAATCAGACCAGTAGTCAGGTGATGAAGTTAATTAATAAAGTTTGTTGGGCCAAGCCCGGTAGCTGAGTGATTAGGACACGTCAGGCACGCCGGCCATCAGAGCCCGGCCGGCGGCCCTCGTGCCCTACTGGTGGGGGGGTGGGGGGGGTGGGGGGGGTGGGGGTGGGGGTGGGGTGGGTGGGGGGGGGGGGTGGGGTGGTGGTGGGTGATGGTGGGGGTGTGGTGGTTGTGGTGATGGTGGTGGGGGTGTGGTGTGGTGGGGGTGTGGTGGTTGTGGTGATGGTGGTGGGGGTGTGGTGATGGTGGGGGTGTGGTGGTTGTGGTGATGGTGGTGGGGGTGTGGTGATGGTGGGGGTGTGGTGGTTGTGGTGATGGTGGTGGGGGTGTGGTGATGGTGGGGGTGTGGTGGTTGTGGTGATGGGGGGGGTGGTGTGGTGATGGTGACGATGGTGGTGGGGATGGTGATGGGGGGGGGTAGTAGTAGTGGTGATGGTGACATAACGGCAGTAATAACTATAACAACGGTGGCGTTGTTGTGGTAATTGCAATGTTGTTGTTGTTGCAGTGGTCAACACTATAGGGTCTTGTCTTTAAGACTGGGGAAAGCCTTAATTATATCACCTTACTAACCACTAAGTAATAACATAAAGATGTAGTAACCTACAGAGGGTCGAATGACCCACTTAGTAGAGGAACTATTTTAGAGACTCTCACTCGGAATGCAGCCATTCCGCTTCTAATATGTTTGTAATAAATCTAAACTTTCCCAATGTATGTTTCTGTGATTGCAATAATATATATACTGTTTTTGTGAATATAAGTGCATTCAAGCAAACAAATTTTATTCCTAACTCTCCTTTTGTTTGTGTAAAATACCTTTAAATGTATACTTCTGTATACCTTTATATATATATAATCTTCATAATGTATATATATAATTAATAATAATATATAATAATAATAAAAATAATAAAATAAATATTGTATATATATAATCTTCAGCTATCCATAGAATCTATCGAAACTGATGCTCCTACTTATGTATACTACATTTATGTATTCCTACATTTATGTATACATATATATGTATAAAATGTAAATGTATACTTCTTTTACACCTTAATTTTACTTGAAAATTCGTGGCCTTCATATATCTCCTCCCAACACCTTTCCTCATGTTCTTATTAACCAATCATGGTGATTTCTCTTAACATGATTGGTTATCATGTTTACAGCTTCCTTCCCACTAGTACACAACTCTCTCCTAGCAGCTTAGATCCTGATAAACAGCCCCGTCTGATGTTATTCGGTCATGTCGTGGTACAGTTGACTAGAGCGCGTCTGGAAACACCCAGCGCATAGGTTCGAACCCTCATCAAGGCTCGTGTGGCTTTGTTCCCGTCTACAACGCCACTCTCTGTCCTAAACAGGTATACCCCATCCCTTGCATGCCTGAGTTTACCTGAGGGCCACTTGTCATGTTTGTAACATATGTATACCAGTTGTCAATGAAGAGCATTCAATTTGACCATAAATGTTTGTTCAGGAGACAGTTAATTCATACCAGTTGCTATGTATACTGAACAACTGGTATCAAAACACACTCACACACATATACACACACGCACAAACACACGCAGACAGGTTTGTCTCAGTCCAAAAAGGAAAAAAAAATCTAATTACAAAGGTAATTATTATTTTTATTAATTAAACCCATAATTTAATCAGGGATGTAAAGTGGCAAAGCAAACTAAGTACAAGGGCCCGGAGACACTACAGAAATAATAGAACGCCAGAGATCAGAGGAAGATACCAGAGGAGATGGAGAAGATTGTGAGGGAAAAACTGGTTGAACATCTGGAGAGAAAGACTTTCGTAACACCTCAATAGCGCGGGTGACGTGAACTTACAAAAAACACCTTTGTTAAAGGTCCAGGGCGGACCAAAACGTCGACACTCATTTCGTGTGTGTGTGTGGGGGTTATGTTATTAGTTCTGTCAAGCTATTGTGACTTATTCTCTGCACGCGTCACTTTGCAATGCAACACAAACATCAGAATAAAGAATCGAACCCTTGGAACAATAATACCAACCTGTACAAACGTGAAACCGGTCATAGAAAGGCATACACATACATGTCAACCCTTCAAGTCCTGGAAAAGAACAGGGGGGTCCCTAAGTACCTGTAAATGAGATACGGTAATACCTCATCTCTCGGTAATACGGTCCTTTAACAACAGGAGGCTGATGAAAGAGGGCCCATCACCTAACACTTGACCAAGCTGTTGATGCATTGTTGTATGCTGCATAAATACGCAATGACGTCACTGTATTTCTTCAGGTCGCAGCTGGTATTAGAGTGAGAGCAGATGCTGCATCTGGTGACGACGCAGATCTTGTCGCAACCTTTACACATGAAAGATCAAGTCATCAAAGAGGGCAACTTGCCACACACACACACACACTTCAAGACGAAGCAT